CAGAAGGGGGACGAGCCACAACATACAAGCGATCGGCAGCTATAGAGCCGCTGATCGTTTGTATGTCAAACAGCCGGTAACGGCTGTGCAGAACGGACGTGTTTTTTTGTGCGCGCTAGGGGGCACACCTCGAGCAGAAAAAAAAGCCATCTAATTATGGCAACCCGCCGCTGGGACCTTGCCGTCCGTCCGTTTTTTCACAACGGGCAGCCAACAAGCGGATAAGGGGTAAGTATAGCATATGTCTCAGGCAGGGGCATCCCGAGGCTGGGTGATACCCCACCATGACGTCATCACGCACGTCATTGCACATGCACGGTCGGCGTAATCGATGCCTGCCGGCGGCCATCTTGGTGATGGACGCCAGCAGAGAGAGGAGAGGACGTATGCCGCCGGGTCCCCTCTCCTGACACTGTCGTGCTCTCGGTCCGTGACCCAGTGCCAGACTTTTCATAGGGGGTGACACCAAATTTTATATATAAACTGTCAGTCATTTTGGTGTCACCCCCTTGTGACGCCACTGGTCTCAGGAACACATACTTTGTGTTATAAAGTGTTATATTACTTCAAAACACAACTCCAGGGAAATTTTTCTTAACCCTTGCAATGCGGATACGAGGTTAAGTGCTCGTGTTTGTCTGGGTTAAAAAATAGCAAAGTTATACCCACCCGATCCTCTGAGCCGGCTTGCTCATAGACCAGTCTCTTTCAAATCTCTCCTCCTCCACTTCAGTAATATGTCCCTCGGCATTCTCACGTCCTATACTCTGTGTATAGAATGCAATGTCTCATGGATGTTAGACCGCTGCAGCGTAGGGGGAGCGAGGTGGCAGGGACCGGCCTAAGAGCAAGCCGGCTTGGAGGGTCAGGTAGGTATAGCTTTGTTATTTTTCATCCTAGACAAAAGCAAGCATTTAATACTTGCAGTGCGCAGGGTAGCCCAACTGCAAGGGGTAAAAAAATGTCCCTGGCGTTCTGCTTTAAAGTAATTTTTTATGTGACTTTTACATTTTAAGTTTTTGTTCTTCCATAGTTTTTATTATTGTGCTAAAGCCCAGCTCTAGACTCCTTCAACTCTATTTTTGTTTTATACTAATATTTTCCGGATGTCTTCAAGCCATTCACATGACATGCATGGTCCTCTTGGGTCTTTTCCTGGAGACCCTCTAAAATGCAGAAAGCAGCACTGAGGTGATGATGTCGGTGCTGCTCTGTGGATTATTACACTGTGAGTGCAGGGCACCATTTTGATGCCTGTTTACAGGGGCAGGTCCATAACCCCCTGCACTCACACTGTGTCCTCAATGTTCTAAGATGAATGATGCTGAGCATCATTGAACATGGGGAACTGAGGACATCTAGTGGTGAATAGAGGGTATTTTACAATACTTGGGACACCTTTTAAAAAATTGCCAAGTTGGGATTTAAATGCAGATATTTATAGATTAGCACCTACAGAGGCTCTGTATTTGACACAGGTTCATTCACCTCATTCACCCTCCATGCATAAATAAATTTGGGATTGCCATTGCTGTTCTCCTGCTGGAAATGTTAGCTGACTGGCTGTTCTGCTGTCCCACCAGTTTCCAATTCACTGACTTGGAACCAGTAAGCAAACCTCTGTATATAATGAGGAGATCTGGCTCATGCACCTTAATCATTACAACCAATATATGGAATCAACATTAAAAACCATGAATACACATTGCTTTTATGATTGTTACACCAAAATGCTCCCTGCATGCAAAAAATACTTGTAAGGGTGTAAAGTGGGGCCAGGCTCTATTACAAGAATAGAGTTACGATTTGCATTTCAGCCATCTATGTTTAGATTAAATCATCTGACATGAGGTTTTCAGTAACATTTGCTTATGCATCTTTTCATCTTATACTCGACGTGCATTGGGCAGGTTTGTGATAGGCTTATAGTACATTAGTATCATTTATTATTTATCTTACAACTATATAGCATTGCACAAGTAAATGCTCACCATACATGTTACAATCTACTTTAGATCTACCAATATGATGTAATATGAGAACCTACCTACCTACCATCTATCCAATGAATTAGTTGGTGGACCTAAAGAAGGTTGTGCAATCAGATTGCATTGTGTGTTGTGAGCTTAAAGGAGAACTATGAGGTGAGTGATTTCCACTCATCCTCATAGTTAGAGCCGACCTGTGACAGAGAAGCTGTCACATGTCGGCTCTATCGATCGGGAAGCAAGCAGAAACGTGCCGCCGATCCGCTCACTTTGCGATTGTCTCCCTGCAGTGAGTCAGCGACTGTCAGTCACTGCTCCCCGCAGTGATTCCCCCCTCTCGTATCCTCCAGCGCTGAGTGGAGGAATGGACAGGGGAGGGGGCGGGCACAGCTGACTCTGCATCTAGATAGGCAGAGCCAGCTGTCACTCATGCAGCTGGGTGGATCCAGACAGTATTGTCAGGATTCGCCCTGGCTGCGGCGCTCTCAGTATATGGCGGGCAATAGCCTGCGATATACTGAGCTTTGGGTCACGGGAGGAGGTTAGTATATGTCCTCCCGTGACCCTAAAGAGAACTATGGGGAAAAAACTTACCCCATAGTTCTCTTTTAAGGCGTCTGAACGTAGTATCCTTCGGCTTCCAGCTCTGAGAGGGAATTATTTGTAAAGGAAAAGTAATTTACCTGTATAAACAGACGGGCTCCTGCAATATCAATGAATATTACACCACTGCAGTCAATGATCAGCGACCTGATTGCAGGGTCTACAATAAGAAATGTTCATGATTAGAAGGGTTAGACACTTAAATTTTTTTCAGAGAAGGGTTCAGCTTATGCATCCATCCATTGTACATCTATTATTCATTCTCCTATTCATTAGGCAGCAACTTCAAGAGGTTTTGTCTACACAGCTGAATGTTTCTGCTGCTGCAAAATTGCCTCTTGAAACAGGCAAAGGTTACCACTGACAACATGTTCCCTTTTCAGCAGACGTCCTCTCAACCCTTTCATAATTAGCTTTTCTTAGCTACCTGATTGTCCTAGCTGAATATATGTTGACATAACAAACCTCTATGAGAAAGGAAAGGAGTTCTGTTAACAACATAATGGAAATAATGGTTAGAAGGAGCCTTATACTTTTTTCATATTATCAGGAAATGGGTGAAATCTGCAGCTGGTAGAGATAAGATTCCAGAATGACATGAATAGGAAGGTATTGAGTCAAAGATTGTTATTGTAAATTGATTTTATATACAGTTTGTACATATACAAGTGCATCTACAAAGTCCAGTATTTGTTTTAGGGTTATGAAAAGTTAACCCTTGCAGTGGGACTACCCCCACGCTGCAAGGGTTAACTGCTCGTTTTGGTCTAGAGAGGCAAATAAAGGTGGCCGTTATGGGGCTCGGGGAACGGGGGGCCTGGCCAGGATGAGGAACAAAGGGGTCGCAATGGCATCTCAGGCTGCTGGCTGTCACTGGCGGCTGTGAGGAGGAAAGTGCCGCTGTTCAGTTCACTGAGTCCAGGGGAGAAGAGGCTGCGGGGATGGTCTGAATGAGTTTCGCTCCCTAGACAAAACGAGCAGTTAATCCTTGCAGTGCGGGGGTAGCCCCACCGCAAGGATTACGTTTTCAAAATCCTGGGGTTCTACTGTAAGAATAAAATATTTATTTCACCTGTTTCTGATATTATCTTGCATCCATCTGCATTATAAACTGGATTTGCTATTCCAACATTCTGCAAAATAAAACACAAATTGAACCAATACAATTTGCTACTCTGCTAAAATCTGCATTTTTAACTAGAAAACGACTTCAAACCCCCAAAACATTATATAGTTTCTGTAGTTGCAATTTTTTTATGTTGCATGATATTTTTACAACTGTTTATCAAATCTTTATTTTCACTTACATTTTTTTTTAGCAGTACACTCATCCGCTATAGGACCTAGACAGAAGGGGATCTGGTCAAGGCCCCAGGGATCAGGGGCAGACTGTGCAAAGCGGCAGAGCGCCTGGTGCCCCTGTAGTTTATTGGGGCTGCTGGTCCATCCAACCATCCTATGATACTGAGCCAGGGGACAGAAAGCTAGTTCCAGCACCTGGCAGACCAGCACAGACCTCAGACCAGTGCCACCACAGTACAAGAGAGTGGGGACATCTACCTACACTTCCTGTTTCCAGTCATGCGACAAAGCATCACATGACAGACTTACAAAGGAAGTCTATGACATATATTCCCCCTGTTAGTGCTCCCTCATATCTTTTTCCTCCTCTGCAGCCACAGTTGTGAGGTGTTAGCTGTGAGGAGAAATGCAAGGAAGCGCTGGCAAGGTAAGTACAGCTGGGTCAGGGGGACCACTTTGCAGAGACACTGTGGAAGGAATTTATCAAAACTGGGAGCAGACAGAATCTAGAGCAGTTGCCAATGGCAACCATTTAGCTTATCTTTTCATTTTATTTGGTTAAGCTTTGATAGAAGCTGATTGGTTGGTGCTCCATATTCTGTTTGCTCCAATTTTTATAAACTCCCCCGTGTGAGTTTGCCCTCCATTGACAAAGTGTCAATGCTTTTTTAACTTACTTACTTGAGTATGATCACCACAATCTCTTCAGTCCTTCCGTGGCATGCTTTAAACTGTTTAAAGCAGAACTACACCAAGTTTTTACAGCTAAGGAAAGTGCCATCTTAGCCTCTATTTGGATTCTAGTTGCCATGGTGCTGAACATGTGATCAGCTATGGCACCAGCCATTTAAGGGTTTGAAAGTTCAGTTGAGAGCTGAAATATGCACACTGGCAACAGTGACAGTTGGCATGCCTTAAAGTGTATTTCCACTTTCACAGCAAATTGGGACAACACCTATTTTATATCTGTTACATGTTTCTATGCACATAACATAAGCTAAAAATGTTTAAAAAATGCTCCTTGCAGTTTAATTTGCTGTTAGTTTGGTTAGGGATTCTTGGCTTCTTAAAGGAGAACTATGAGATGAGTGATTTCCACTCACCTCAAATTTCTACTTGGCTTCTCCTCCTTTTGTAAAGTTAGTAGGGGTAATGAGGGATGAGGGGCTTCACTATTGCATGTTATTGGCGTTAATGAGAGAAGCACAATCCTCAAATTTCAGTCCTGAGTCTTTCTTTTAAGACAAATCACTATGGAGGTGCTGAGAAAAACATGGAATCAGACAGGTTGCCTGCTGCAACAAAGCATCTAAAAGGTAAGAAATATTTTTTAAATACTAATTTTTCAGTATGCTGTGTTAATAGATACACATCACAAGGGTATAGTTGAGATTTCTTAAATGTAACTGCAAAAGTGGAAATACATTTTAAATGTTCCTGTTTTTGGAGACATTAAATTGGTGGGTAAAGTTCCTCTTTAATGTATAGTGACTAGCAACTAAAACAAAACTGCTCTTGACAATGAATATAAATATTGCAAAACATAAGGGCACACAGAGCTAAACTTACCACCACTGAGATACTCAGCTTACTCCCCTGTTCCATGGCTTTTAGCGCCTTTTCTCTCTTTCTGATTTTTTCTTGCGTCAGTCCCACAATTTGGCACATTGTTTCCTTAAAAATGTTCCTGTTGCCATAGTAGATTGGAGCATTATAGGACAGGATCTTCACTCCTGGTATTTCATAACACTAATTAAAAGAAAGCGTTACATTCTGGCAGCCGATGCTGGAATTCATTTTTTTTTATTAAGCAAATGGGAAATAGAGTTTTGGCATACTATTGTTTGAAGGCCTTTTTATCACCTTCTGATTACATTATTCCTTTTACTATGTGGAATTAATGTACTGTACTGATTGTAATGTGTTATGGATTCTGTGACCTGGTGCTCCCACTTCCATTGTCAACTGGAAACAATTTTATTTTATATGTCTGAAGGGCAAGTGAATATTGGATAGACATGAAAAAAAACTAAAACAGTTCTTTATTTGATTGCTATTGGCCCTAAATCTTCATCTAGGGAGAATGTTAGAAATTTCCTAATCAAGGTAAACAATATATCATGCAGGGTTGATAACATTCTTGAAAATACAGGATGGAATTGTGGGAAGGGTGGGTCACCAACTTATAGCTGGGCAGCAGAGATTTCATGCCTGTTAAGATACCCATATGGGGATAATTTAGAAGTTTTGCCGTCATTTCAGACCTTCCCATCCAAGCAGCACATTTGAAATACATTTACGTGATCAACTCTACCTGCCAAAATATTTGTCATTGTCTTTGGCAAACTTCTAGGCAGTACTATTCAACCTGGCTGACCTATGCGACCTCTCACTCTTAGGCCCCTTTTACATGGGCTGATCAGGAGAGTATCCGTGCACAGATCCTCTCCTAATCAGAGCAATACAGATTGGATTTCACCGCCGTACAACTGAAACTGATGGACCCCATGTTGGTCTATGGGGAATCTGATGTAAACGGACATGAGTCCATTTACATCAGATTACCCCTGTTCCGGCACGATCTGGTTCGTCGAAACAGAACACTGCTCTGTCTTTTCTTTCAGACCCAGCCGGAGACCGGGGTTAACCGGGTGTAAACGGACGTTTGTCTTTTTACACACAGCTGCCCATCGACTTGCATTGGGCATCTGATCGGGTCCGCCTAAAAAACTGACAGACGGACCCGATCAGAGCGCCTGTCTGAAAGGGGCCTTAGTCTAGCGGATTTCCTGATTAAGACTACTGTGAACTACTCAGGCGCAATGCGCGTTGGTCACTTGTAGTCTCCATCGAAAGCCCATGTGACAGGGGAACAACCCAGGAGAACAATTAGGAGACAAGGCTATGATCCTATAGTAAGTGCCTAAACAATGAGCTTAATGACAGTATTGTGAAGGAATATGGATCATATCAAGAAAATGTCCTTTTCTATGTTTTAAATTGTTTTGAATTTGTTTCATTTGCTTCCTAGCTTTGTGACTTTCCTTACTCAGCTTTTAGCATTGCTATGCGTAACCAAGATGGATCCTGTATTCGGGAGCGCGCCGAGGATACATGAAAGGAATGCCGAGGGAGGACGCTACAGGCAGAAGATATCTTTGACTAACCAATTAGCGAGAGACACAAAACTTTAACTAACAGCCCCTCTAGTTTGCCCAATAGTACAAGACATTTAGAGATAACAGAGGTGGGCATATGTGTGACGAACACTCTCCTGTTATCTGTGTATAAAGGAGAGAGACCGCCCTGAATAAAGTAGATGCGTCATAAACCTTAATCCTGAGTTTGTGATTTCTCCGGTGCACCGAAAACGACATAATTAGAAACAGCAGCAGACATCTTGTGTGAACCCAGTTGTGGTTCAGATCCATTTCAACTGGCGCCCAAAATCGTGGGGCCCTGGGTTCCGATCCAAGGGCAGCCATGACACACGGATGGTAGCGGAGGACCAGACAGACCAAGGGGGCTTGCGCAACCCTGAGAGTACGGTAGGCATATATTTCAATATCTTACCACTGTACTACTTGTTTCTGTCTGATCCACGGTCACATCCACTTGGCTGTTCGAGGACGGCAAAAGGCAGGTAAACTTTTCCTTGCCCAGGGCTGTTTTGCTAAGAACCTGCATAAGAGATTTCTGCTGGCTGTGTGTTGTTATCTGTTATCTGTTTGTGTTTGCGGCTCTGGGCCAAGGCTGAGCTGAGCTTAAAGAATTCATTACAGGATGGTTATCCTGGCTTGTGAGGTGTTTGCGGCTGTGGACCGAGGCTGAGCCGAGCTAAATGAATTAGCTACAGGGGTCGTCCTCATCTCAAGTGAGCTCTATGCCCCGAGAAAGAAGGAACCCTGTAGTGGGCGTCTACGGACGGAAATCCGGGGTGACGTGTCGGTCCCCCCGAAGTGAACTTAGTCGGTCAGCCAGTGGTTCAGTTCCGCGTTGTTACGCCCCAAGAAAGAGGAACCCTGTAGTGGGCGTCTACGGACGGAGATCCGGGGTGACGTGTCGGTCCCCCCGAGGTGAACTTAGTCGGTCAGCCAGTGGCTTAGTTCCACGGTGTAATGTCATGTCCTACATGTGTTTGTGGGTTAATGTTCACTGTGGATGTAACGAATTGGGGATTAGTAAAAGTAGTAGAAGGGGGGTATCCCCCCCACGTAAACTTGGCCATCAGCCTGTTGTCCCAGCGATTCCCGACATCTTGGTGCTAAGGGTTAATGTACCCAGTGAGAGGGAGTTTCGGGAAAAATCCTCTTTGAAATAGAGCAAGCGGAGGGGAGGAGGTAGAAAACTACAGAGGTTGCCAAAAGTATGTGGACTGAAACATGATATTGTCCGTCTCCAGCCAGAGTTCTGGCGTACCTTGATAAGGGAACATCGAGGCAAGTTAAATGATAAGGGATTGATGAAAATAGCTGAAGCCTGGTTTCGTACAGCAAAGGCTTTGCACAAAGAAGGATGGGTAGAAGAAACAGTTAAACGAGATGATGAAATTATGTATGTGTATCACAGAAGCTGATGATGTGTTTGAGCCACCGCCCTATAATGGCGGCGACTGGACAGACAACTATTCCAAACCGCACCCTTCGTCTAACGCCCCATCATCCGTGGCTCCTCCCTCCCAGGTCATTATGACGCCTACTGGCCCTGGTGGCTTAACCACGCCCACCCCTATGACACCCTCCGGTGGTGGCCATCTTGGTATACCCAGCCAACACGCCGGAAGTCCCGCCCCTACTACATCCGGTGGTGGCCATTTGGTATACCTTTCATGTCACTTCCTGCCCAGCCCAGTGTACTTCCGCCTCCTTCTGGTGGCGGCCATCTTGGTGTCCCAGGTCAGGCAGCATCCGGAAGGCATATTAACCCCATGTACCCAGTCCTCCCGGTGCTGAATGCCAATGGCTCCTACCACACTCCCGTGTTCCCTAATGTACTAATGGGAGATGCATCAACGCTGCCACCTGCCCTACTTCCGTCCGAGGCCCCGCACATAGCTTATGATGAAGTGACCAGTGCGGAATGGAGCTCATTCACCAATGCTGACCCCGAGCCCCTACCTCCCGAAATTCAGCCACCCCTTAGGCCCCGGCTGAAGCGGGAGTCATTCCTCCAGTCCTGGCACCCCATGAACATAGCAGAGGCGCCAGTGATGTATGTCACCTTCACCCCATCCCAGGCCTCATCCCTGGTCTCGAGTTTACCAGACCCTGACAAGCAGCCGATGCCCTGTTACCTAGGACACCCACCGCCTCCTCCCCTACCTAGCCGGAGGGAGAGGATTACCTGTTATAACTGCGGGAGACTAGGGCATTTCAGGAGGGAATGCAGGGCCCCCCGCCGCCCCTGGCAACAAGAAGAGGGGGCTGCGAATCCTGCCATGGCTCGCCCCACTTCCCACTAGGACAGGGGCAAACCCGTGTTCCCCTCCCCTCTCATGGCAGCGTCTTCAGGGGAGGGAGGGCCCTTAGGGAAAATCGTCCTACCTGTACAGGGGATACCCACCACCTTCCTTATTGACACGGGTGCAGCCAGAAGTGTACTTAAAGCAACAGACCTGCCAGATGATTCTTTTCTTTCAGACATAGATGTGTCCTGTGTGGGTGTAGATGGGGTACCACGCCCCAATCCTCTCACCAAACCACTCCAAATAGGGACATATCCTAACTTGTTGGTCAGATTTGTGGTGTCCTCTACCTGTCCCCTTAACTTGCTTGGTGCAGATGTGCTATCCAGACTCCAGGCCTCCATCGTCTTCACACCAGAGGGAGGAGTGACTTTACATTCACCATTGTCACCTGAGGATTCTTCAGCCCTTTGCTCCCTGCCCCTGATGCTTTCACTTCATCAACCACATGGAAAACCCACCATTTCCCCAGAAATTCTGAATAGGATCCCTCAGGAGCTTTGGGCCTCAGGCCCAGAAGACATCGGACACCTGGATGTACCCCCGATGGTGGTGAAACTTAAAGAGGGAGTGACCCTCCCAAGGAAACCTCAATAGCCCACCCAGTCCTGGTAAAGAGGAGGTTGTAATGAAACAGAATCTTGTTCTAAGCACAGATCCTCAGCATGCAGCTCACCTGCCGGCCAGGTCTCAGCTGCGTCCTTTGGAGCTTCCTGGGGAAAACTCTGATCAACGCCAAGAGCTAGAAACCATTCGCAGATACTATGAGTTGGCCAGAGAAGAGATCATGAGGCTGCAGCAGGAGCTGTCAAGGAGATGTTCTGAGTGTGTAGCTCTGGCCACTGAAAGAGATCGGAGCAAAGCTGAGTCAGACCAACAGATCCGGCAGTTGGAAGAAGCGCTCCGTGATGTGCAGAAGCAGATGCTGGATTCTGAGAGCAAAGTGAAACAGATGCAGACACACTTCTTGGCCCTGAAAGATCACCTGACCCAGGAAGCTCTAAGTAGCAGCTCACGTGCTGAGGAACTACAGGAACAGCTCCGAGAAGTAAAGGGCAAATATGAGGGAGCATCTGCTGAAGTTGGGAAGCTGCGTAACCAGCTGCGTCACAATGAGCTCCTGGGGCGGGAACTGCGCAGGGAGGACGCACGCTCGCGTAAGGACAATAGGCGCCTTCAAGATGAACTAGCCATTTGTGAGGGGGAGAAGGAAAAAGCAGAGCGAAGGGTCCAAGAGGCCGGAGAGCAGCTGAAGTTGGCAGTCACTACTGACAAGTTTGAGAACATGCAATGCCTTTTAACTAATGAGGTGAATGAGAAGTCTTGGAGATTAGAAGAAGTTGAACAGGAGCTGAGTCGTGTCAGAGATGAATTTGAAGCTGCAAATAAGGAGAAGAGGAGGTCTGAACTCAAGTTGGACATGTTGAGGAAAGAGCTGAATGATTTGAAAGTAAGGAACAGCAGCCTTGCACGGGAAAGTGAGGAGCTCCAGTCAGAGAAGATCCTGCTGAGGAGCTAAGAGCGCAAATGAGAAGTCAGCATGTTCCAGCACAACTGCATGCAGATACTAAGAGAGCCTGTGAGGAAACTGTAGCCCTGCTCCAGTATGTGGATGACCTGCTCTTATATGTGCTGACACCCTGCCCCTGGCTGAAGAAACTGCGGAGAGTCTGCTTACATATCTGGCTAAAAAGGGGTGTAAAGCTTCCAAAGACAAACTTCAATGGTGCTCTGAGAAGGTTATATTCCTGGGCCATTGCATCTCTCAAGGCACCTATCCTCTGCCAGACATCTGAGACTACAGATATCTCTGCTGATCCCAGACAATGTCACCCTCCAGCGCTGCACCACTCTGAACCCTGCTACACTTCTCCCACTTTCAAGGGGGGAAGCACAAGAGGAAGGAAACTGAGGAAGAAGAAGGTTCGGAACAAGGACATGAGGAGAGAACTGAGGAAGAAGCACAGGAAGGTTCGGAACAAGAACATGAGGAGAGAACTGAGGAAGAAGCACAGGAAGGTTCGGAACAAGGACATGACTGCTTGGAAGTCATGCACGCCGAAACCACACACCTTCCCACAGTGAGTGATACACCCCTGGTTGAACCGGACCTTACCCTCTTTGTTGATGGTTCCAGACATGTGGACGATCTGGGTAAGTATCACACAGGCTGTGCAGTGACAACCGTGGATCAGATCCTACAGGCGGATCCCCGGCGCCTACCAGGTCGGCCCAGGAAGCAGAACCTCAAGCCCTCACTGCTGCGTGCAAACTGGCAGAGGGGAAAAGAGTAAACATCTACACAGACTCCAGATATGCCTTTGGGGTGGCACATGACTTTGGAATCATTTGGAAGATGCGAGGCTTCCTAACGGCTGCTGGAACACCGGTGAAACATGGGCCAGCCATCAAGGTATTGATGGAAGCTTTGCTCCTGCCCGAACAGGTGGCTATTCTAAAGGTATAGACTGGATAAATTACATATATTACAACCAGCAGCGGTTCGTGAATTATACCAGAGATGTCCTGCAGGGAATTGCTGATCAATTAGGCCCCACCTCTTACATGACATTCCAAAACAGGATGGCCTTAGACATGATTCTTGCGGAGAAGGGGGGTGTATGCAAAATGATCATAGACACGGGAACCTGCTGCACGTACATCCCAGACAACACCGGCCCAAATGGTAAAGTTACCCTAGCCATTAAGAAGCTAGCAGACCTGTCACTGGAACTAAAGAAGAATTCAGGTATCACAGACCCATGGGACCAATATTTTAATTGGATGACAGGTTGGCAGAAAGCATTAGCCCAAGTAGGTGTGGTGATTCTCATTGTTCTGATCTTTATCAGCCTAGTAGTCTGCTGTGTGATCCCCTATGCCAAGAAGTTAATGGCCAAAGCGATGGATGAGAGTACTTTGACCCCAACCATGATACAGGTAGAAGAGGACACCTACCTGAGTGATGACGAGAAACCATATTCCCCGTTACAATCCTTGTCCCCCAAATATAATCTTATAACCCCTTAGGTTAGTGAGAGTAGGGACAGAGATCACCTGACAGTGCATACCAACATGTTGGGACCAGAGGTGGATTAGCCCCTCGGACGGCCCCTACACATGTTAAGAAAAGAGTTCCGGGGTGTGTGCCAGGTGATAGGTTAAGGGACAGGAAAATGTATCTACATAGAAATAGTCATTTTAGGGGGGACTGTGAAGAAATATGGATCATATCAAGAAAATGTCCTTTTTTATGTTTTAAATTGTTTTGAATTTGTTTCATTTGCTTCCTAGCTTTGTGACTTTCCTTACTCAGCTTTTAGCGTTGCTATGCGAAACCAAGATGGATCCTGTATTCGGGAGTGCGCCGAGGATACATGAAAGGAATGCCGAGGGAGGACGCTACAGGCAGAAGATATCTTTGACTAACCAATTAGCGAGAGACACAAAACTTTAACTAACAGCCCCTCTAGTTTGCCCAATAGTACAAGACATTTAGAGATAACAGAGGTGGGCATATGTGTGACGAACACTCTCCTGTTATCTGTGTATAAAGGAGAGAGACCGCCCTGAATAAAGTAGATGCGTCATAAACCTTAATCCTGAGTTTGTGATTTCTCCGGTGCACCAAAAACGACATAATTAGAAACAGCAGCAGACATCTTGTGTGAACCCAGTTGTGGTTCAGATCCATTTCAGTATCACCAGTTATTAATTTAATAAAAGTTGCAGATTATAAAAAAATAAATAAATCTCGCTTTTGATTACATTAACGTTTTAACCCTTATGTGAGATTTTAATGACTTGGTTTACATACATTTTAATGTTTTTTTTATTAAATATAACTAGGCTAAAGGTAATTTTTTTATGTTTGTCTAAAGTTCAATTTCAGCAGTTAAAATCTACGTGTAACCCATATTGCAAGTAAACTAAAATTGGATACAACCTATGGATAAAACTGTTTTAACAAAGAGTAATACCTTTACATTCTATATCTACATTTAGTATCTCTAATTATATAGCATGTTGGTGGCAATGTGATTCATATATGCATTATCACATTCAAACTTTTTTTTAATCTAGGCAAGTACTCGGTAAAGAAACAGAGTGTGTGTTATCACATGGTTAGCATCCCATGGGGATAAGTTACTTTTTGTAAAAATACTGTAGGTATTATGAGTGTTTGTTCTGAAAATGTATACCTTGTCATTTTGGTCTACTGGTCGGTATATTTCTGTATTGACAGCTCTTCCCAACACGGAGCACTGAGTCCTAAAAGGCAGAGCAAATTGTCAAAAAACAGAAACTCCTTTAAACATATATAATATATGAAAACTATGTTTTAGTATAAGTCATCAAAGTAATACTGTTGGACAGACAATACAGGCTAAACATATGATGACAACATATGTCAGCTTTTCTTGACTTTTATTGTCAAGCTCGGCCCCAACCCCCTCCTACAACAGGAGGCTCCCTTACAGTGACACTAAACTCTGGAGTTAAATCTTAAAAATACATTCACGTACCCTAACTATTAACAAAAATGTATCTTATCTGTGCATCAATAGGCTGTAGAGCGTCAAATCATCCCTGAATACTTGCTGACACCGTCCTTCCTTCTGGAGGGTGGCTAATTTTGTTCCCCATGGTCCCTGTGTATGTTGTAAAGTAGCCACCGCGTCCTGTGATGGACTACAATCTCAGTACAAATTAGTGAACTAAACATGAGATTGTAGTCCACCACAAAAGCAAGTTTGGAGCGCTGGCTTCTTTACTTTACAACACATACAGGGAACATGGGGAACAAAAGTAGTCACCCTCCAGAAGGAAGGACAGTGTCAGCACCAATTCAGAGATGATTTGAGGATCTACAGCCGAGTGATACACAAATAGGACACATTTCTGTTAATAGTTTGGGTACTTGAATGTATTTTTAAGCTTTAGCTCCAGAGTTTAATGTCACTTTAATAGGTTACCTCAAGAGGGAACCTAAAGATAAGCATTTGGGATGTGTCAATGACACTTTCTCTTACACACTAGTTTATCAATTATAAATAAAGTGTTGTCTTGAGTTGGGTTTTAATAAACAAATTGAAAAGGACAAATAAGCCAAAATATACCAATGCTCTAATTTTAACAATGTTACAGCTAGGGATGATCAGATCAGGAGAATGGCTGATCCATCCACTTTTTCCTGAATATATATTAGTAAATGTGTCTGATCTGCGGAGAATCGTGCAACTTATAAATCTAGATAATCATAAATCAATCAATTGAATGATTATCTACATACTTGATAATTCTACATGTATATATTCAGGGGCATAAACAAAACTGCAAACTGGTTCACTCATCATTATCAACAAATGATGCCAAAATGAGGTCAAGCATAATAAACACAATAAGAAACATCAATATTACATTTTTAGACTGTGTACCTTTGGGTTCGGCAAACCACCGTCATCATAGAGAAAACAACACCAACCATCAGACCTACTTCTACATTAAGTATGACTACAGCCAACCATGTCACCACCCAGACAGACTGTAAAATAAGATCAGAAGATGTTATTGGATTTTAACATGCGAGGTCATTTTTGCAGCTGCATTTCCCATTGTTGGCAACAGGTGGCAGGCAATATCTTGCTTCTAAATAGCCAGTCGTGTAAGAAACTAGCACTTCACAGCCAAATTGGGATAACACCTATTTTATATTTGTTATATGCTCCAATTCACGTAGTATAGCTTAAATGCAAAAAAAATGCTGCATATTACTTACTCTTTTGTGAAAGTTTTTTTTTCTCTACACTGAATTTGTCTCTGAAATGCAAGGGGAGTGGGGACCTTAATGTTTAACCCTGTCTGTGCTGTGCTGTGCTGGCAGATCTCCTTATCAGTTGTAAACTAGATTTGAACACTGTCTTAACAAAGGGTTAAAGATTTAGAAGCATTCTATGTTAATAGGAGAAAGCTCAGAGTGTTCCTAGTGTTTCTATGAGGACAGCCAAAGTTTCCTGTCACTTTAAATTGCTGAGAGAAGTTTTCAGTCTGTCCAAAGGCCTGCCCAAAAGAGATATCTAAAAGGTATGAAATATTTGTAAAAACACTTTATAGGCATGATGTGTGAATATGAACACATAACAAACATATGGGGTTTTCTCAAAGTTGACTGTAAAAGTGGAAACTTACTTTAAATTGCATGTATACACTTATACAAAAAACGGTATTGTTTTACTCCTGGAGATCCGTGCTCGTTCAGTTACCCTTTTTAACAGGGGTCTGTCAACCGTATCAGTAACCTGATAACAGCATATAAGAAAAAACAGAGTGGACTGCCTTCATAGGGGAGGCAGTCTAAGGGTTCACAAATGATCGGGACAGACCCAATTTTTAGATTTTACTGTCCCGATCATTTGTGAACCCTTAGACTGCCTCCCCTATGAAGGCAGTCCACTCTGTTTTTTCTTATATGCATGTATACACTTACCCTTTTTTTTACGCTTATTTTATCAAAAACATAATAATCTCTGTAATGGAGAGGTTCATAATCGGGTTTTACTGCTATCCGGGGGGCTCCATTAGAGAGATTTCCCTCACTTTCTGTTCTAGAGATCTTTTTTATCACACAGAATATATAGGAAACAGACATCAATAAAAACCCAGCAGAGGGTCTGTATTTTCATTTTTGTCTTTGTTGCTGTTAGAGTGATTTCCCCTCATTTCCTGTCCTGGGCACAACTTATTTTTTTAATAGAAAGCAAGTAAAATAATCTCTCCAACAGAGCCTGCCACTGTAGTAAAATGCATCGGTCTTTGTAGTGTTTCTCATAATTTATGCATGCTGACTTCTCCTTCAGTTCATTATAAGGCTGGGTTCACACCTGGGCGTACCATAGGCACGTTTTTCTGCTCGTTTTTCAGCTAGTTTTTTGTATGTTTTTTAGCACGTTTTTTCGTTCAGTGAAACACGCGTTTTTATACCTCCTTGGCGGTGTGATTTTTTTTTGCTTTATTTTCAGGGTTTTTTTTTAAACTTTCAAACTTCCCGCCGGTTCCGCCCCCTGCGACGCGGCCGCTCGCAAGGGACGGAACCCGGAAGTCGGCAGCGGCCGGAGGACACAGAGGGGATCATGGACAAGGTAAGTCCTACGCTGTATTCCTGCTTTGTTAACCCCAAGCCACACTCGGGAATACCAATGGATACGCCCGGAAAAACGCCCCAAAGAAGCTCCTGTACTTGTTTGGGCATAGGGCGTTTTTCAGCGCGTTTCCACGGGCTGAAATACGCCCAGGTGGGAACCATCGCCATAGGAAAGTATGGGATTTCACTGTTTGGGCGTTTTTCAGCGCTTCAATCAGCGCTGAAAAATGCTCAGGTGTGAACCAGCACTTAAGCTTGACCACTAAGCCACACAAGGCTAAAGAGATAAAAGTAAAGTAAACCTGCACTTGTAGTCAGTGACGTGCACAAAAATAATCATACGTCCCTCTTGTGGGGAAAGTAGAGCAGTGAAAACAATATTTAATATAATACAGCACATTTGAATGAAAGAAAGATTGAATTGTTGGTGTATATACTTCATGATCATTTGTCAGAATATAAAGATGTATTACACAATTGAACAGTCTTTATTAGGGATGCACCGATACCGGTATCAGTGCCAGCGCTTTACATGTTTAAACACAAGTGGCTGCCGTAAGGCCCTGCGCTTGCTCGTGACCTTACGGCAGCATTCTGGGGACCTCATGGGGCAGCTTACATCGCTTCACCTTCCGTACCCACCCACCCTGCTGGGATGCTGTGGACCCCTCCTAAGACCCTGGACACCTCTGCTGAGATGCTGCGGACCCCTGCTGAGACCCTGGGCACCCCTGCTGGGACACTGCAGATCCTCCTGAGATACTGGGCAACCCTGCTGAGACCCTGTGGACTCTTCCTGAGATCCTGGGCACCCTGCTGAGACCCTGTGAACAGTTACTGAGACTTGGGGTACCCCAGCTAATATCCTTTGGACCCCTTCTGAGGCCCTGGGCACCCCTGCTGAGACCCTGCAGACCACTCCTGAGAGCCTGGGCACACCTGCTGAGATCCTGTGCAATCTGCTGCGACCCTGTGAACACTTCCTGAGGCCCTGGACAACCCAGTTGAGACCCTGGGTACCCTGCTGGGACACTGCATACCCCTCTTGAGACCCAGGGCACCCCTGCTGAGACCCTGCGGACCCCTTCTGAGACCAGCAAAAAAACTAGACACCAGGTACACTTTTATAGTTTTATTAGTATTATATTGAACCCTAAGTTATAATATGCACAACCTAGCTGTTACATCTACTATTATTCTGCATTGATAAAGTGCTAAATGTGCAGCGCTAAAGGTGATGATTAAGTAAAAATTGAAATGGCTGTTTGCCAGCCAAAACAATAGAATATTAAAACTGTTTAATATTCTATTGTTTTGGCTGGCAAACAGCCATTTACATTTTTTGATCATTATTTTTTTTGATCATTATTTATACACTTTTTGAAATTATCACCATTAGGTTGACAAAAGAGTGAATCAATTGTTTACACTGAGGCTATTTAATAGCCCATCACTATTGTTTGAACACTGCTGTTTTAGTTGATTTTTGCACTATAACACTTTATAGTATATATTACTTGTTGTGATATCAAAGATTTTTACTTAATTATCACCTTTAGCGCTGCACATTTAGCACTTTATCAATTTTGACCCTAGGGTTCATAGTGCAGCAGCTTTTATACTGTACCCACCCTCAAGCGCAGATTTTACAATTTTCTATTATTCTGCATTGCTGCATAATGTATTGCTGAGATTTGTAGTCCTCTATAGCCGATTGCCATTCTGCATTGCTGTATAATGTATTGCTGAAATTTGTAGTTCTCTACAGCTGGTTGCCATTCAGCATTGCTTTACAATGCATTGCTGGGATTTGTAATCCCCTATAGCTGCTTGGATTATTCTCCATTGCTGTGTAATGTTTTGGTCAGATTTGTAGTCTTCTATAGCTGGTGGTATTATTCTGCATTGTTGTATAATATATTGCTGAGATTTGTAGTTCCTCTACAGTTTGGAGTCAGTGGCAGAACTACCTGGATCACAACGGTTGCAGCTGCGACCGGGCCTTGGCACTTCCCCACTGTCTTAAAATCATTAGTTGGTATTATTTTAGAAAAACTGTCACATAACACCAATAATAATAGTATTATTATTTTTTATTATTATTATTATACAGGATTCATATAGAGCCAGCAGTTTGTGCAGCACTTTACAATATAAAAAGGCATTACAGTTACAATACAAATCAAGACAAGATGGTAAGGAGGGCCCTGCCCATGATACAATCTCTATTACATATCCGAACAGCCATGTGTTTTTTTTTTTTTTTTTAATATAATCTTTAACGTGCAGTTTTGATAGCATATTTGAACAGTCCGTGTTTGTCTCCTGTGTGTGCTTTTTTAAATCAACTTAGTAAGCATGCCAAAAGGGGTAATATTCAATAAGTAAGTTGATTGCACTATATAGTTAGTAATTCTGAAGGCAATTGTACAATTAGATTTTAACATGGGTGACCAGATTAGGTGTATAGCCGTGGGCCTGACTTCCAGCCTGAGCCCTGAGAGCTGTCTAAGCATAAGGTCCAGAGGCATTTGAAATTTGTATTGCAGCCCTACATGACTCTGCTGACAGTGATCCTGACTCACCATGGAGGTGGTTCAGTGACCTTCTATAGTATATATTTTCAATAATATTTTAGTTGGCTTGTCATATTTATAATCTATGAAAGATACTTACAAAGTCAGTTTTGCTGATTTTCCATAATTCTGGAAGCTCCTGGAATTGGACGAACATCTGTCTGAGACTGACAACATTTATGCATGCGAGTACTGCCTACGGGAACACAGGAGAGAGTTTTCAACTAAAGCCACTTCTGTTACAGCATACAAGGATACCTCCCAACTTTCTGACACACCCCTGCCAACCGCTCAGTTATGCGGACCATTAAGAATTTATATGGCAAAAATTATTGGCTAAACCCTGAATGTTTTTTTTTCATCAATACTTTTTTTATACTTCACATTCACATTCTTTCTTTATAGTAATTGTAGTATACTAAGTTCGTCACATGCAAACAATACTTGATACCTGGCGCTTGTGACAACTAGTAGAGAGACCTTCTTCCCAAAAGTAAACAACAAACGATCTTCACACACTGTGCTGCTCCCTCACAAGGACTAGGAAACTATAACTTGAAATTCTACAAAAAAAGCACAGAGCGCCCGACATGTGAAGAATTGTGAGCTCACGATTGGTGGCTCTGATGAAGGGGGCGTGCCCCAGAAACACATCAGCCGCAAACACAGACGATTAGCCATGAGGCGGCATTCCAGCCAGTGGATCGGCGTCTTCTGTGTTGATATTTGGAATACGGGTTACACTTCCTATATCCTGATTGCAGGACCAATATAAGCGCATTTTACTGCACTTCCTGTGAGTATGTTTTTTCTATTTGTCAGTTGATAATAAAACAATTCTGCACATGTTGGGGAGCTCTGTGCTTTTTTTTGTAGAAATTGAAATTCTTCACATGACGATGGATGTTCTCAACCTACTGATGTAATCTTCCTATCATTGATAAAATATTTTATCTGAAAAGCATGTAATACATGTTTTGCACATATTTTCTTTATTTATTAGGATCAGGGCTATAAATTAAAAATGTCAAATTTATTTTCCTTTTTTTTGACCTTGCATTTAGGAAATTGTATTTGAATGTTTTCTATTTTTATATCTGGCCAGCTGGTCTAACATTAGGCTTCCATTTAGGTTCTCCTTAGCTGCTCTTAACGAAAAGTTTGTTTACGGAACACAATAATTCAAGCTGAAATGTAACCACAGGATTGTAGAAACACAACACTGAATCACATACTCATTCCACCTAATTATTCCCCTCATTCCTCTCTTCTTTTGGATGGCTATGTAAGATGTTTTAATCAAAAAGAGAGATTGTGAAGGTAAGCAGCTTCTGCTTGCTCTCTCTCTTCAGAAAACCCATTATATTCTGTGAGTTCTTCATATATTAACAGGGTTATTCACTAAAGGGTGAGGAGTTTGGAGAAGGCAGGAGAAGTGAACAATCTAGGACAAATTAGCTGATTTGGAAAAATTCTCCAATTCAGCTCACTTTCCAGTTCAGCTATTTTGGCCTAGATTGTTCACTTCTCCTGCTTTCACCAAACTTTTCACCCTTTTGGGAATAACCCCATAGGTGTTTATTTGTAAAACAAAGATTTTATATGAATAGTAAAACACAAAAATAAAATAACAGTTGAAAAAATGTATACACTTGAATTGTATTAAAATATAGTGGTTCCAAAACCATTATAACTTCCATTTTGGCTGTTGATACATGATCTGTACATAAGTAATTTATACTAAACTAGTTAAACACAGGTTACACTTGAAGATGACTAACTGCTTGGTATATTGTGGTTTGTCACTAAAACTGCATAAAATATAAGTAGAATACCATAACTTGTACCTCAGGATTGAAATGTAGTTCTGTTTACAGCCTCCCTCGTTTTCAGTTTGGTTTCTGCATTATGAATACAAAGGATGGGTATTTCTGCCCTGTGGTAAGGATGCTGTGGGCTGTCTCTCCTGTAGGAGTCAGCAGTGTAGTATAGGAAAGTGACTAATTCTCATGATAGGCAACCAGTGTCATTTGCTGCTACATGCTAACGTTTGCAATTGGTTACTGCACGCCTGTCCTCTTTAAAGAAGCCACTGCACTGCTAGAGAGTACTTTTTACAATGACTATGTTCTAACCAGCTATTATGAAGATCAGTTATAAGTTGATGGTCAGTCACTAGGAAAGAACTCTCCAGGTGCTGTTGCTTATTTGTAGTTTGTAGTAGCAGCTAAAAACAATTCTTGCCCTTGTCACATCATTTTAGTGGAGCAATTCTAATGCTATAGGGACTTTAGCTCTGCTCTATGCAATACGATGTAAAACTTTATGTCAGACCAAAAACTTTTTTTCTAGTTTCGAATAGATTGGATTAGAGCTCTTGTATTACTGGTATTCAGGCTCCGTCAGACAGGTTTACCTCACTTCCTGTCCTGCTGACAACAGTTTCACCAGACAAGAAATTAGGTAAAATCTGCATCACGGACAAAGACAGAAATAGAAATCTGTCAAGTGTTCTATCCTTCCCCTACTCTACTAAATAAAATATCTTAACATGAAGTATGTATTAAGCTCAGGCAGCAGCTGTCAGCATAGTTAGTTCACTACTAGGGAGCAGTGCTGGGGGCAAAAGTTATAGTATCACTAATAATAATCAACATAATGATATTTTATGTCACGATAAAATGTATAATGCTCTTATACACACTTACTTTTCAACCCTAATACAAACTGCTTTAAACCTTTTTGTAGAACAACAAACCTCAGCCCTCCTATAAGGTTTTAAGAGAAGTGAAACTCTGGGATTGGTGACTACATTAAGCTTATAGGGTTCATTTCTATCAGTCCTCCTCATGGGACCCCCTCCTACCCCAAGCCCCATAGCAGCTGCATGGGCTCCTTTGGCTATTGTTATGCCGCCGTTTTTAATTATGTATTTTTTGCTACTGGAAAGTTATTTTTACTTCCTGTGTGGCAACATCAGCAAGACAGGAAGTTAGAGTAATGCTCTATAAGAGAGTCCAGGACAGCAGTAAAAACTCAACAGGGGTTTTACCCTTCCTCATTCTATCCAAAACAAGGAAAACATTTTGGTTAGTCATACACCTTAAATAAAGTGTGTCAGGTGGACAGTACTACCAAACCCTCTCCACTACTCTCTTCCTTTTATAAGAAGTAAATCCAAATCATCAAATATTGAGGAAAACAATGACAAAATCCCTTCTCTTCTGACCTTACCTCCATACAGTTATGTTTGTGCATGAAACTCACCTTTGGCAAGTAATTAAATAGCGGACCAACCCAAATCAGAACAACAAGTACCACACTACTGGTGAAGAATCCTGAAAGCTAAAAAAAAAAAGTACAGAATTACAAAGGAAGAACACTTAATACATTGAAAACCATACTCCGGACATTGTTTTTAAAATTGTGGATAGTGTGCGGAAGGCTTTGAACTTCCGTTTCAATGTTTATTGTTATATGAATCCCACTTGGAGAGATTTCCTCCTACATTTTATTACTATTTCACTGGGACAGGAAGTTAGGAGAAAATCTTTAGAGTGGAACTCTATGAACTTTTTTCATGTTGTAGACTATAAACATAGAGCCGCCGTTAACTTTCTTAACTAGACCCAATCATCTTTAACCTCCCTGGCAGTATGATTATCTCAGTATTTTTTCTTTTTCTATTTTTTACTTTTGAATTTCTCGCCGGTTCCGCCCCCCTGCAATGGCGGCGCTCGCAGGGAAGGAACAGGGAAGATGCCCGAGTGTGGCGTGGGGTTACCGCTTTTGGTATGGAAAATTTACCCCTGAGTCACACTCGGGATTACTGCCAGGAAGATAAAAATATAAAAGGTTGACTATACCTTACTGCCTCTTCAACATAAAATACTTACTTTAATTTGGCTTTAAAGTGACATTAAACCCTCAGATTTTTTAACATAAACTAATACTGTAATGTGTGCCTTACTGTAATCCATAGTAGTTTCCCTTCTCTTTGCTGCTCTTCCTTTTAAATCCTTATCTCTTCTCATGCTGGGGGAGAACTTCCCTTTGCAGCTGAGTGCCTCTTCCTGTAGTGCTGGCTCAGGTTGTGAACCTGCACACAGACACCATGGGGTTGATTTACTAACCTTATAAACACGCCACGAACAAGTATACACCTCTGTAGAGTGTTCCCTCCCAGCATGATCTATTGGTGGAATCTAGACACCTTTGTAGTGTGTACACACCCAGCAGGTGTGTTGTGCAAAGCCAAGCATGAATTGCAAGGTGATGTTGTATAAATTAGCTCTACGTTGTGTTGCTTGCATTGATCAATGCAGGAATGTAAATGCATGAGCTAACCATTTTTGTCTAAACTGTGAAGCAGCATTATATATGCATCATGTGCAGGATTTTTCCATATATGGCATTAGTGGAAATATGCTTTTAGAGACTTTTTGGTTGATAAATACATTTTGCTGTGTAAAAATCACAAGCACCTGGTGCGTGCGTGTGTTTAGGTTAGTAAATCACCCCCCATGTATCCATTCCAGAGACAAGGCAGTCTGCTGCAAAACAGAAGTTCTGCCCAGCATGAGAAGAGATACGGATTTAAAAGGTAGAGCAGCAAAGAGAAGGGAAACTACCATGGATTACAGTAGGGCTCACATTACAGTATTGTTTTATGTTAAAAAATCTGAGGGTTTAATGTCACTTTATATCAAACCACAAATTCCAGAGTCCACCCCCAATAGACACAAATTGGAAGGAGGCTTAGGACTCCCAAATATAGCTCATTAGTATTATACTACCAGCTTCTACCATTGATAACCATTCCACAGATACAAAAATGTGCAAACCTAAACCTGCTTGGAAAATCCAAATAGCCATCTGACTACCATTCAATCTGTTCCACGGCTCCCACCTCCCTTTAGACCACCGGACATAAACATAATCCTTAAATTTGGGCCTCAATAAAATATTCTAGCAGTTTTTTGTTACCTTAACTTCCTTTACTACCATTACATTCACAACCCTTGTTCCCCCCAGGTTTAGACAGCTCTTAAATGTTTGAATGGTGGTTCAAAAACAACTTCCAAAGAGCACTTGACTTTTTCTAAAATCTTCAAAGTTGCTGCCAAATTTATTTACTGCAAACATCACCCATATAGAACATTGTTATTGGTATTTATGCCTTAGCCAAAGTGCACTCTCCCGCCAGCCTCCTCCACCTGAGGTCTTAAGTAGGCGCTAAAAAAACTCACATTTATTTAAAACAGTAAAATAAAGCGAAGGAATGAATGAAGGAGTTAATACAAATAATAAGGGTTGACTAAAATATAATTAGAAAATGTTAGGATTAGAAAACTAATTAGCGTTAACTGCAAATGTTATTCTGTGATGTGTCCCTTTTATAAAGGTGCAAGAATCACAAGCATTTTTTTACATTTGGCGCTACAAACTTAAATCAATGTAAACTTTATTTTTTTACATATAAAATAGTAATACAAAAAAAAATAGATCTCCCCTGTGTAATCATCAGAGCTTTGTGACAGCCGGGTGCCATGCTCAGTTTGTGCACAGAGAGCTCCTGATACTAGAACAGGCAGCTATGGAGTGCATTGCCGCTGGTTTCACAGGGAGAGTCGTCATCTCCCAGTGTAATTTGCAGAACTGAGCAGCATGGCATCCAAGACGAGTGCTTCTTTTGCCTCTGCCTGGCCCTGATGTCAATCAATATGTGTACTCTCTAAATAACTACATAATGTTGGTGTTCCATAAATACTGTATAGAAGATTGTGGTTAAAGATAAACTAATCTTAATATACATTTTACAAATGCATAATCAAATTTAATAAAAACTCACCTGAGTGTAAGCTCCAGCACTCTCGAGAATATTTGTTGTAGCCAAAGTAGCCGAACTGGGAAAACAGTTGAAGAGTGAAGAGACAATATTGGATATTCCATGAGCCAAAAGTTCCTAAAAAAAAGAAGCTGAAGCTCTGTAAGTGGGTAAATTATAAAAGCAAACTGGAATACAGTAATAAACGCTGGGCATTTTTTTCATTTTCTAAATACATTTTCCAGAAATTCAGCTAAGGATGGTAAAAAGTACAAAGCTTTGCAATGCAACTAAAATGCATTTCAGAATAAATACACAATATTCAGAAATTGTCTAGTTTTTACCACTGTTGAGTTCTCTAAATGACCCCTCTCCATGAAAGGAGACAAAAAGTCAGCATAACACTTGACGAAGAAAATTTGAAAGCTGGATTCACACTATTTTGAGCCTGTTTTTTGTATGTGTTTTCTATGTGTTTTCTATGTGTTATCAACAATCATACACTTCCATGCCCTGCCATCGTCATCAACAAACCCTATAATGCATGTCAATGCGTCTACAATTGGACAACACATGTCAGTGCATCACAGACCTATTTACATGCATTGACTTATGTTAAAATGCTTATGTTAAAACACCCAGTGGCTATTTATAAACTATTCACAGTGCTCTTCACCCTGCATATATTTGTGAATGTTTGTTCTGTGCAGATAATTATGCCAAAATTATGCACAGAAAAAAATGTTCACAAACATTGTTTTTAAACAAAAGAGTTGTATATAAGTTGACCCCCACAGGTTTAAATTGGTCCTACATGTTTTTTTTGTATCATGACACAAAATATTGGATCATGGGCATCTAACATGTATAGGCATTTTACATAATAACTAAAGGCAACATTTCTTTTCAGCTGGGGAGCAGTGGGGAGATAGAACCACTGTCACATTTTTAATTTCTGTGTCGCTTTTAGGGAGATTTGCTCTCTCTAATTGTGCTGATCACCAATGTCACAAGGAATGCAAATGAGCGAGAATCCAAAACTTTGAGTTGCCACCAGAACAGAAAACTTCCAATGGAGACACTTGTTCCTGTGACAACTGTCCAAGAGGCAGTTTCCCTTACACTGGAAAGATTTCCTCCAACGTCCTGTTGAGTGTACAGGACAGAAAGTGAAGGGAAATTTCCCTAACCAGACACAGGTGGCAATAAAAAAAATAAAGCTACAGTTATCTATGAATGCTACTGATGCTTAAAGGTTAGAGATGGGAAGTTCGGATCTTTCAAATGAATCGGTTCATTTGGATCAGTTCATTCAAAAGAACCGATTCATGAATAGAATCTTCGGTTCACTGGCTGAGTCGGCTGACAAGCCAGTGAACCGAAGCTCAGGAGCTGTCTGAACCTTCATAGAAGATTCGAATCAGAGGACTCTGATTCAGAGAAGAGTGTCAGGCAGCTCCTGGGGTACATTGATCCTAACGCTATCAATACATTTAAGTGAAAAAGAATAAAATAAATAAAAACTAAAACCAAAAATTGTTTATTTAAAAAAATTTATGTTTTTATTTTTTTTGTAAATGTGTAATTATCTGCCCCAAAGTAGAGGTCATGGTTGTCGGAAGTAAAGAAATCCAAGTATGCGGGGGGGTGAAAAACTCAGGACTGGAGGGGTAAATAATATAATTAAAAAGGAGGTTTAAATGTATTTTTATGAAAAGGGTATTGTCTCTAGTTAGAGAGGCGGAGGGATTTGACCCTCTTTTGTCATTCTGCTGTGTATAACCTGAAATTCCGCTATTAAAGCAGTCTGTGCATCACCACAGCAAACCAGGTATCTGAAAGTTACAGTTGCCCCCCGCTGGCTCAAAGAAGCTCAATATTAAATATGTATATGCAATATTTCATATTTCCCTAATCGCTAAGAAATAAAAAAAAATAACAGAAAAAAAGATAGGACTTTTATCAAATTACAAGGTTTCTTCAAGATCAACAGATATTTTTTTGAAATTATGAAACAGACATAACAAAAATATTTCAATTGTATATTTCAGAAACCAAAAGGGAGCAATTATTACATTTTGGGTTTTGGGTTTAGATACACATTCATTTTATTTTTACTCCTGAAGATAATACGCAAAGAAATTATATGAAAAATTATATTCATTTTCCAAAGGAACTTATAAGGACGGATGTAATTTCCCTCAATGGAAGCTCCCCATCATCAGATTCTGCTCAACCAGCTCTTAGAAGAAATGTTGGGGCAGCACAAATATGTGTTGCATCATACATTGTGATCTGCCCGCCCCAGAACTAGCACCATTTCCAGAAGTTGGACAATAGCAGACTCCAGTTGCATGGGAAGTACTTGGCTGTGAGAGAGAGGATCCCTTCAATAAATTGTAATAGGCAATGTGTACTATGAGGTATGATAGTATCTAATGTCTCACCTGGTTTGGATCAATGGTATATCTGTGTTTCTCTGCATAGATCATAGCCAGTGACACAGATACAGCATAACCTACAAATGTGATGGCAATTGTGTCTCCAATTACATCAGGGATGACTTTCAGGGTAGGAAGTTTAGGCACTGGAAACCTGTTTTAAAATGATATGAAATAGAATGTTATATGGCAATGAGCTGAAGAAACAAGAACTTACAATGTTGATGAATCAACATTTATTGAAAAGCAAAAGCAAGGAGAAGTGGCCTGGCACGTCTAAGATGGCCACTTTATTCTCACTGCTCTGGCAATCATGGGAATCACCCAGTGTGATCCAGACTCGCAACTGAGCCGGAACATACAGTTGCTGAACTCTTTAGAACTGGCATACTGAATTTGTGGCAGGCCTCCATGATATCTTCCGATGTTCATCCTCCAGACTTTGCCCTCTCTTGTGAGCTGTTGTCTTAATGTGTTGTGCATACTTGCACATTAGGACAAAACCAAAAGCATTTACTTCCACTTTAAGGGGAGTCCTAGGGCATTTGTTTGTTTAATTACTACATAACACCCATAGCTGGGGGGCTTTCTAGGTCATTTTGGTGACAACACATTGCCCTGCACTGTATTTAACAATGTAAACAGACCTCACCCCGTGGATTTTAAAGATAGTGTTTCATAATTATATGCACTTAATTACTGCTATGTGCACATATTTATGTGTGGCTTTTAGCATATTTTTTGGCATCAATTCAGCACATTTCAAAACTGCAGATGTTCAGTTCTGGCTTTTCCGAACTAAATCTGTGATGTCAGTATCAATTTAGCGGTCTCCCTGAACACGTACAGTAATTCCAATTCTTACCCAGCTGGTATGCTGCCAACTATTTGCACATTGTATCGGTGGTCCAGAGATGAAGCAAAAGTTATTCCAGTAGTGAGTAGAACCTGAAATTTAAAAAAAATAAACATTTTGCCCTTACTAAGTCAGTATGCATTAGTCTTTCAAAAAGTATTAACCACTGTAGCTCTCACACCTGTATACACCTGTATATATGGACCAGAATAGTTTTTACTTTTCTGCCATGAGCCTGTTTATTTGGCAATAACTTACATACATACATTACATAGGATAACACGGTAATATATTTATCCTATTTTTTTTAATCTTTTTTTTTTTTGGACAAACAAGGCTTTCCTTACGTAATAATGGCTTGCAAATATTGTATTTTTTTTGCAACAAATAGACAAAAAAAGAACAATACTTTTTTTTTTACTATAATGAGTGTTAGTTAAAAAAAATGTTAATGTAGTAAAAAATGTATAAAAATTGTATTACATTTCTTCTCCTGTTTAAAATTACACTGAAATATGAAGCTGGTAAAACGTATCAAATTTTTTTTTAAAATGTAATTATAAATAAATAAAATAAACAAATCAGCAGAAAAATAAAAGTTAAGGGAAGAAGGAGAAGAAGGTGTTGTTTAGGGTTGATTAAGGTAAACTACGTGTACTAAGAGGTTAAATAGGAACAAATTTTGTTTCAAAAAGGCTTGCAAATATTGTATTTTTTTTGCAACAAATAGACAAAAAAAGAACAATACTTTTTTTTTTACTATAATGAGTGTTAGTTAAAAAAAATGTTAATGTAGTAAAAAATGTATAAAAATTGTATTACATTTCTTCTCCTGTTTAAAATTACACTGAAATATGAAGCTGGTAAAACGTATCAAATTTTTTTTTAAAATGTAATTATAAATAAATAAAATAAACAAATCAGCAGAAAAATAAAAGTTAAGGGAAGAAGGAGAAGAAGGTGTTGTTTAGGGTTGATTAAGGTAAACTACGTGTACTAAGAGGTTAAATAGGAACAAATTTTGTTTCAAAAAAATAACTTTTTTTCATTGTGAGGTTGTGTTAACTGAAATCATATGCATTTTAAAGCTCATCCCTTTAATATACAGATAATTAGATACAAAATGAACAACGTTACTTTTTATCTCTCTATCTTTTATCCAAACAGTGTTTATGAGCATAAATAAACACTGTGCCGGAAGGTCTGTATTTTGACAGCAGTGGCTGTAGCTGCTATACTCACACAGCAACCTTCAGCTGTCATCATGAGTAGCGGTGAGAGAAGTTTGTAGCATACCCAGTGTCCACAGCTGGTTAATTAAACCTTATTTTATGTATTATTAATTATTTCTAACAAAAAAGTGGGGTGGGGTGGGGGGGTATTGCCAAAGTAGGGAAGGGATACAACAAGTTAGGTTATTTGTGTGTCTGCACTGGAAGAAGATTTATGCTCACTTACTGCCACAAAGCTGAGGATACATTTCCCAACAGGAACAGTTTTATCAGTCCAGTATACACTTTGTTAAACAGTACCTAGCCCTGAAGAATGAGGGACCCTTTGAAACCCCTAAACATATTGACATTTTATGATATAAGAGTCTGAATAAAATTAAATCTGGACTACATATGTAATTATTTTGGCGATTTTGCCCCTGCACACCCAACAACCAAAAACTGATAGAGGGTCTAATCTTTCTCCTCTTGTAAAAACAGTGTTTTTATTTCTATCTTTGACCATCTGCGACCACTGTCACCAGAACAGGAAGTAAGGGAGAAGACACAGACAGCAGTAAACACCTAACAGAAGTTCCTCTCTATCCAAAAAAAAGTTTAGTGATACACCTTATTAACTGTACAGCAGTATGCTAAAGCAAACAAAATAAGATTTCATCTATCAGAAGGTTAGAGAATATAGAATAATGCAAGTTAAATTACTAAGGATATTCCCAGATAAGACCACATTGTCCTAAACAATGCTTGCTAAATGATACTCTGACTATTTAGATACAGCTTTGAGACCACATTTCACCAGATGGTGGTGCTACAGGTGACAGTTAGAAATTACAAGTCTGGTTTTGGCCTTGATAATAGAAAACTATGGAAGCAGACTCTTCATTGTAACTAGATGGAAATGTGAAAGCTGAAGTTTTAAAAGAGCTTCTTTTTTTTTAGAATAGTACATTAAATGACCATTGAATATTGTCACATTGTGTTAAGATGGGATGCTATGCCTTTGCTCTTTTATTGTATTCTAATAAACCTAGACTGTAGTTACCTTTAACATATAGACATGTAAGATCCAGGTGAATATCAGCATATTTGGATATTCTGATGCATCCACATTTCCGAATGAAAGAAAAAACAAATCCAAATGTATCCAAATTTTCCAATAAAGTTTGGATGCATCCAACATTTTTTCTGAATATCATTCGGAATGAACTTGTGTTGTTAAACGTTAAAATAAAAAAAATAAAAAAAGTCCCCTCCCAGTTCATGCTAGTTCCTTTAGGTCTGGTAGGAATTTTAGGGGGAACCCCAGCACCAAAAAAACAAAAAGAAAGTGTGTGGACCTCGATATGGGGAGTTACTGGGTGCCGTGCCCCCTTTATGAAAGGGGCACTCAGATTCCTATAAGCCGCCCTGCACGCAGCCCACCACAATCACCAGGCCAGGGTTGTGGAAAAGAGGCCCTTGTCCTCATCGACATGGGGACAAGGTGCCCCCTGGCCACCTTCCTCCCCATGTTGAGGGCATGTGGCCCGGTATGGTGCAGGGGGGGGGTGCGCCTGCTTTGCCAGGCTGATGCTTGGAACAAGGGTCTGGTAAGGGATTTTAGGGGAGACTCCACGCATTTCTTTTCTGCATGGGGTTTCTCCCTAAAATTCCTACCAGACCTAAGGGGTCTGGTATAAATTGGGGGGAGGGCATGCTTTTTTTTTATTTTTACATTTAAACACAACCTAACTTCATCCAAATTTTGGATGAAGCTATGTTTTTAAATGAGAAAATTAAAAAAAAATGCATACCAGACACTTTAGGTCTGGTAGGAAATTTAGAGGGGACCCCAACGCCAAAAAAAAAAAAAGGTTGATTTCCCCCTCAAATGCCTTACCAGACCCTAAATCTGTTTTCATAGACTCCTTGATGTAAAGAATCAATCAAAATTGAAAGAGATTTCCAACTTAAATAAGTCAAATTTTACTCGAAATAGAAAAAAACGAAATGCTGCTGGAGACCATCATTATGGGAGTCTAACTACCAGAATGCACACTGCTGACAAAGAGGAAGATTATATTTTTTATTAAAAGATAATACAAATATCTAATCTAAAGTCCCAGAAATACCATCCATGCCAATATAAATCTAATGATTAGGAACAGTTACTCCGCATAAAGCAGACATAATGAATGGATCCAGCACGTTTTATTCCTTCATTTACTGAAAGCTCTGTTATATCATGTAGGATATATCTGCATCTCCAGGATTTTACAGTTTGGCAGTATCCTTCTATTAGGGTTTATATTAATATATAACTTACCATGATGATTTCCCCTGGAATAGGTGTCCTTAGCCTAGTACGGAAGCGGGCGTTGAGCTCCTTGATGGGAATTAGCACCATCAAACAGAGAAAGGATATAATCAATTCGGCTACATTGGTCATATGTACAGCTTTAAAGACAGATGCCAGGGTCTACACAAGAAGAAAGGGAACATTTACATACACTTCCTTTTCTGCTATCCTTAAATCATTTCACAGTGTTGTTGTGTTATGTTATTGGCATATGCTCTAGCAAACTAATGTAATGATTAAACTTGTTTTATCACACACAACTAAGTGAAATAACACTGATCTTCTATATATTTGGTGTATAATATGATTAGTCATGCAATGTTCATAATTTAAAATGAACCTCTTACAAGCATTATATTTTGAAATGAGCATAGGAAGAAAAACGTTATTAGCAGATGTTCATCGAAAGCAAAATGGCAAAACAGTCAGTAGATGCAGTGTAATAATAGCCAGCTGAAATAATATGGACAACATAACTTTTTCTAAGCCTTCTTATTGGTTATTTAAAGCCAAATTAAACCTTTTGTTTAAATCAGCTAAATACATTCAAGGTTTGTTTTCTTTAGAACACAGCCACAGCCTAAATAGTAAAAGATGTAGATGAACATGCCAATGGGAAGTGTCCATGTCACAAGGCATCTTAATATGATCATGCAGAGATACAGAAATCTGAACTTGTAAGCAAAACTCAAGTTTTTAAATAATTTTTCCTATAGCTGCCTATCACATTCAAGTGTATTTCCACTTTTACAGTCAAATTTGAGAAAATAATTTGAGAAAACCCCTCTATATGTTTTTTATGTGTTCCCATTCACACAGTATATCTAAAAATATATATTTTTAAATGTTTCTTACCTTTTAAATATGTCTTTGTGGCAAGTCTTTGCAAGATTATTTCTCAATTTCTAAGTGACAGGAAATTCTGGCTGTCACCATAGCAGACTGAGCTCCCCCTCATTGCATACAATCATACAATGCTTCTAAGGGGGCTATTCACAGAGGTGCCGAAGGATCCAGCTGTAGCTTCGGCTGATCCTTCGGCTCTCTTCGGCCGCCGGTGCCCTTTGGTGCAGTGGAACCGAATGGCTGCTGTACGGGCTATTCATTATAGTCGAACCGAATGGCTGCTGTACGGGGCTATTCATTATAGTCCGTACAGCTGCCAATGCGGCCGAGTGGCTCAGTCAAGCCGAAGGCAGATGCTTCAGCTCGACTGAGCCGAAGTGACACCCAAAGCGGGGCGAACGGACTGCCAACGGCGGGCCTGATCTCACGGCTAGCTCTGCCCAGCTGTAATGACAGATTAGCGTCCCCAAAGGGCCTGGAGACGCTGATCTGTCATTAAACAATAACAACTGGGCGGAGCCGGCCATGACATCACGACCGGCTGTGCCCAGTTGTTATTCATTGGCCGGGACCTGCAGGTCCCGGCTAATGTCACTGGTAGCTCCGCCCAATTGTTTTTTTTAAAAAAATCTTTATTTTTTTTTCATTTAATAATTATTGAGATTTAAAAAAAAATTGTTTTAACTTTTTTTTTTTTAATCTATTTTCATTGATTTGCTATTCTGCTTGGTACCATGGAGGTACCGAGCAGAATAGCTGACCTGAATGCCGCTCGGCGGCATTCGGCTATTTACTCACTGCTATGAAAATAGGGGTGAACGGCAGCGAGTGAGCTGCTGGAGCTTTGGCTCAGCCGATCCAGATGTTGGATCAGCTGAGCATGTTCGGCTGACCGAAGTGCAGCCGAAGGCAGCCAATATACAGCTGATACCAGCCAATGTACAGCTGAAATCAGCCGTACTGAGCCGTAGTGAATAGCCGAACGTTGTTCAGCTCACTTCACTACGGCTCGGTTATTCACTTGACTGCCTTCGGCAGCTTTGTGAATAGCCCCCTAAATCTTTAGCCTTATGTAACAACAGACATTGTACAAATCAAGTTGTAAATTATACTGAGATCTACTAGCACAGTACAGACAGGGTTAATAACATTAACCTCCCCAACACACCTTGCATTATGGGCAAAACTCAGTACGGGAACAACCTGTAGTTAAGGACAGAGCATGTATTGTGCAAGCAACAAGCAACAAGTAACAAAAAAACAAAGTTATGGAATATGAATGAAAAACATATAAAAAATATAACATCAGTGTTATCCCAATTTGGCTGCAAAAGTGGAAATACACTTTAAAGCCCAATGGAACCTTCAGTTTAAGTTAGCTAAATACAGGAACATCAAAACAAAATCTGTGCAGTGTCTTCCAGTTGTTTATTTTCTTTTGAAAGCAGCCACAACCTAACTAGAGAAGCCGCCTCTGTCAGCATGCTGCAGAAAAGGACTCTTGCTCTCTGTATGAAAGCAGTGGTCTCTCTGCAGAGGTCTGACACAACCCGGAGTCTGAGTCACTTGATGTGGCAAGAATGCTAGCTGACCTTAAAAATGGTGAAATGTCCTGTGTGACGAGGAAGAGGAAGCCCCATCATGTTTTGTATTTGGGAGATTGTCACATGGAATGCAGCAGCATTGGTGAAAGCTTTCACTATGGGCTCAGACAAGTACGTGGAGAGGAAGCCAAGCTGTAGAACAAACATGATCACCTGGAAAGATTACAGCAGAATTGTACATTATACGTCATTATACATTGAAACAGGATTAATGAACTTTCTTATGAAACAAAAGTGTCACTATCATCTATACTGGTCATCTGCTACATACAATAGACAGCTTTTTACACTCACCAATGTCGACCATAACCATGGCAAGAAGAAAGGACAGCCTTTTCTACACTGAACCATGCCTAGCGTCACCCATTAAATATAGCTATGGATTCTATTTTTTACATAATAGTGAGATTCACTTTCTCTGTTTGTCCTGATAACCATTGTCACTGGGACGGAAAGTAAGGAAAAATCCACAATTTTGATATCAAAACAGGAACACAGGGGAAATCTTCAAACAAGGGACACTTGTTCTGGTGACAAGTGTTAGGACATTTCCCCTACTTTGGAGAGGTTTACGCTTACTTCCTTTTGTGTCTATAGGAAAGGAAAGGGAGTAAAATCTCCCAAAACAAAAACTATTCCCTGCTCTATCTAAAAGTAAAAACAAAAAATTGGATTTAGAAATACTCTACGAAGAGGGCAGGGTGTGTCTCTTACAAGAACAATGCTAATAATGAGCATTGTGTGTGATTGGGGAATGGGGAGAAATGATAAAGTTTTTATCCTATATAATATTTGTGTCATAAAACATATCACTGCCCTTTTTATCCTACCCTGCAGTGACCTTGATAAATCTCTAACATTGCCTGTTGCAATTGAAGTGGCAATAGCATATAAACATGCAAATTTGTGCCTTGCAAAGGTGGCCCCTCATTTAATATCATTACATGCCATTTTCACTTATCTGCCATTGCAAATTAATAAATAAAGGCCATTGTCCTTTTCGCACTTCACACATTATGGAATTCAATAGGCCAGTCACAACTATACTCACTGTGCATTATTTTGTGATAACAAAGATATACTAATTATACATCTCCACACTCACCCCCTGTTATTAGACATATTCTAGTTTTCCATTATAAATGATCAATCAGCAGGGAAAGGTGTATTTACCATGATAAGTCCCATGAGAAAGGCTATAGCCGCTGCCATGCCTATTCTCTGTGCGTAGATCTCCAACTGCTCCTCTCCAGTGAGGTTTCTATCCAAAGGATTCTGGACAAGATGCTCATCAATAACTGAGCCAGTCATCAGACTTAGCACAGCAAAGGTACCTGGAAAATGGAAAATAAAGTAATATTTTATTAAGTAGTATCATATAACACTGAATTTTCTTTAAGAGTCGACTCCATGGGGAACATAATCCCCCAACCACATTATATTCAGGATCCTTCATATAACATTTCCTAGTATGGGTTCCTCCCATTAAAGTTACAATGCCCGCCATTAAGTCTGCATCTGGTGGAAGCTCTATCTTCTTTAATTATGCATACTTATCATATACTACACTTTGTGGCAATGTGTCCATACATATTTTTGGCTTATTCCCTATACCTCCATAGAGTAAACACTGTGGGGGGAATATATCAAAACTGGAGAAGACAAAAATCTGGATCAGATTTGCACTGCAACCAATCTGCTTCTATCTCTCATTGTCAAATCCCAACTCAGCAAACTAAAGAGAAATACTGATTGGTTGCCATAGGCAACTGCTCCAGTTTCTGTCTGCTCCAGTTTTGATAAATTCCCCCATTGTTTGCCCCTATACCGCTTTCAATTCAGCTATATGTTTAGTATTCCTCTTCAATATCATCCACTATGTTAACATTTCCCAGAGTAGTATTGCTCCTCTTTCAGAACACATTATTCATCTGCATATTTTCAGTTTTATCTTTTCATCTGATGCCAGTTCTTTACTAATAAGTAAACCTATTTGGAACTAGGAATATTTCTCCCAAAAAGGGTAGAATCACAGCTCCTATGCCAGAAAAAGATATGGAATTATTTCACACCTTGCAATATATTGACTCATTTATTTGGTACTCCTACCAGTAGAAACATGATGTCCAGTCCCAAGCAACATGTAGAGGACAACAGGAAAGAATGATGTGTAGAGTCCATAAACTGGTGCCACTGAAGTTAGTAATGCGAAGGCCATCCCTAGTGCAAAACAATGACATAGGTTCAGGCTTGTTTAAAATTTTGTTGATATACAGTATATGGCATGCAAAATAGATCACAATATGCAATTCCAAGGACAATTTGTTAGATTGGTATGTGTACATAGTTTTACAAGTACAATTACAAGTACAAAAATATGTGTTGACATAAACATTTACAATGTGAAATAAACGCATTTAAATTATTCAAAAGCGCCTGTTCTTTGCCATTTTCTGTGTATAATGCTTTCACAGTTACTTTTACGGTATATAAACATTTTTCAAACTCCAAGGTAAATAACAATGTCAATATGTATCTTCAATAAAATATACTCACCCCCTTCCATTCATATTTCATATATAGAGGAGCAGGTGTTGCATTTTTAGATAAACAACAATTAAGTTCACAGGAGTGAACGGGTAGAGGTAGGTGTAGTGGAGGGGGTGTCTGTGCTCTTATCCTATCATTATTTCAAATGTAAAGTCTATCTAAGTCCAAAACATTAGCAAGTGCCACTGAAACAGGCACCCCCCTTTGGAAGATTGTTTTCCCCCACTTCCTGTTTCTGTTGGCGGTGGCAACGTTTTGGATTTACCATTGCCCTCTGTCCCATTGACAATGGTTTGCAGGAGAAATAGAGAGAATGAGTATCCCCTGCGTGGATGCAAACAGCAACAAAAATATTTGACATGACAATCCTTCCTTACTCATCAATATGCAAATACTACACAAAGTGGTTACAGAAAGGCAGCCAATTTGCTTAAAGGCACACTTCAATCAAAACTGAAATGCATACAGGGACACAGCATACCTGCACAGGGTTCCAGTTCTAGCAGTCCACCCAACTGTATCATATTGTAATGTGGTGATCTGGTAACTCCTTTGCTTATCCATTAACAATTAAGGAGAAGTATTCTTCTCCCAAAGACACCTAATGCAGTGTTTTGTTTTTTTTATAGCTCCCAAGTTTCTGACATGAGAAGGAGGTACACCTTCCACAATAATGTATTTAGACAATGGACACAAATATCATACAAGATAACTAACAGATAAGATAAAGGCACATTTTCATAGATATTTCTACATTGGGCCAAAAAGAGGAACAATTAAAGAGGAAAAAATGGCAGAGGGTTTAGATCCAAATGAGACAGTTGTGTGGTATGTGTGTTGCAGCGCAGAGAAGATGTCACTGTGCTATTGTTCAACAAAATACCACTTTATGGAGACCAATAGGACTAACCTATAATGAATTATAAGCCTATGGCAAACAACACTGATGCAAAGATACACATCAGTATATGTTATTATGTACACCAGCTCTTATGGCAGTAGAATGCTTGTGTTTTACTGCACGAAAATGCATTTTAAGTAGAAATCCGAGTCATTAATTTGTGGCTGGCTAATATCCAGCGGCGGACTGAGTTAGGCGGCCCACCTTACCAATCTGTTAAATTTTTAACACAACAACTGCAATCATAATCCTATGAAATTGTGTGTACTTCTAATACTACAACCTAAAAAAAAGACTGTATGCTTTGCATTGTATTTATAACACAATTATGCAAATATATTCAGACAAATGAATCTCTCTGATTTCTACAACCTTGTGCTCTGTAAACAACATCCAAAATGTAACTAACAGCAAAGAAGCAGATTATTGAAAACTACACACACACACAGTGATTTGGGAGAAAGTGTCACTAAAACTGAAGAGAATGATGGTACAGAGCTGCAATCAATGTATTACCCGGTCCCCAAGATGCTGCCAATTGTTATGCAGTATATAGAATACAATTATGGAAATGTCTTCAGACAAATTACTCCATCTGACTTCTACATCTTTTGTGCTCAGTAAACAACACCCAAGATGCATGTAACAGAAAAATAGCAGATGATTGGAAAACTACGCAAACAGTAAATGGTCCAGCAAGTATAATGAGGATGGTGACAAATGTTCTGAAATCATTATATTACCCAATACTTTAGGTGTTGACATTTGTTACATAGTATTCAGAAAACAAATGTGCAAACATATGCAGACAAGTTATCCTGTGTCTGATTTCTACATGTTTATGCTCAATGAACAACATCCAAGATGTATATAAAACCAAAGTTGATAGGAAAATTACATACATGGTAATTGATCAAGTGTCACTCAGTATGATGAGGATAACCAGAAATTGATGAGAATGATGACCAATGGTGCAGAGCGGAAATCAGTGTATTAACCTGGATGTTGACATTACTTATGTAGAGCTTAGCAATATTTAGAGAGTTTAAAGTGCTGTGCAAAGTGTTGGTGCTAGGGATGTCCCGATGCCACTTTTTCAGGCCCAAGTACAAGTACTTCCCCTCATGTACTTGCCGATACCAATTACCGATACTATCCTCCTTGCCCTCACTCACTGTGGCGGAGAGAGCAGCGACGAGTCAGCGCTGGTCCAGTGGGAGTAGCTCCAGGTGGGGTCCTAATTTAGCTGGCTCAGAGGTGTCTCCTCAAACACACAGGCCCAGCAAATCAAGCTACTTCCCTCCCCCCTGCCCCCTTTACCTCCCTCCTCCCTTCTCCAAGCTAGTTGCTGGAGTCTGCACTGTCCTTTGTGATCTTGTACTAGACAGGAAGTTCAGAGAAGCTGAGCTCAGAGACTTGGAAGCAGCTGTTCAGAAACACGATGATTGCAATTGTTTGAGCAAAAATGTAAAGCAATGCTTTGCTGGGCAATGTATATTTGTTTGATCTGGATTTATTATTGAAAAAAAGTTTGAGAGTTTACTACTACTTTAAGCCTATAAAATGTCACAGTAGGGCAAATCATTGATGGAGATGAGTTAACGTCTTTTAACATGGTAACAGAAATATTCCTTATTAAATGAATGAAGTAAGATTGACTGGAATTTATGAGAATCCCATTAACAGGATACTTTGATAAACTTCTGTGAGACTAATTCATTATATATCATTACGACTTAGAATGAAGGTGCAGGGGATTTCTGGTACCCAAACTTTGAGGGCCCATTCCCACTTGTGTGTTGAGGCAATGCATGGTACAACATGTACATTACCACACATTTCTGCAATGCCCATGTGTGATGTGTTGTGGTGCCAGCAAAACAAATATGGCATCCGCACAAATCAATTTGTAACTAGCTTTCAAAGTCAGGTGCATGTGGAAAGGCTTTTCCACAATACAAACCAAAGAAAAAAAGCTTAGTGTCTCACAACTTGAGTTAAAAACAGAGGTTTTAGTTGCACAGCTTTTGCAAAGTATGTGGAAACCAGACTGCCTCGTCAAGGCTCCTCTGTGTAGTGTGGTCTTAACTGCAGGTATGTCTGAAGGTAGCCCATCCCACCTTAAAGGCACAGGGACACACCAGAAGCACAACACATCACAATGGCAGCTAGGCAACCTGGTAAGTGTGCTGGGAAATCTTTGTGTTTGTATTGTGGTAAACAATGTGTACCTCAATTTGAAAGCTAGTTACAAATTGATTTGTACGGGTGCCATATTTGTTTCGCTGGATTTGGTGTGGAAACACACTGGGGGCCTTCAGCTGCCATTTTGGGATTCAGGTGTGTCCCTGTGCCTTTAAGGAGGGATGGGCTACCTCTATATTATACAGGTTTCCTTTCTGCACATGCGTATTACAATAGGCACAATTTTCCCCAAACAAAAATCACAGTTAGAATTTCGACTGTTCAGATAAGAAACATTTTCCACCCCAAGCCTTAGAATTTTCTTGTCCATACGCTCAAAAACTATTGTCGATTTGTCCCCATTAATGTTTCATTGAAATGAAGAAACGTTCTGAAAACATAAAATCTGGTGTATAGCTAGCTTTAGTTGTCCCAGCTGTGGGGCATATATCTATATTTGGGGCCTCTCTTCAAGCCCAGGTCAATTTCTAGAGTGCATGATCTGATATCAGTGTAGCAGGCGGTTGAAACTCCTGCAAGTGCAAGCCTAACAATTTATTAACCAATATCTATTGGATCAAATAGGAAATACGTTTTTGCCCTTGGATTTCTGGGCTTTCTGTTGTGGAGGGAGATACATGACTTTTAGACAGATTCTCAGACGAGGGTCAATGCTCTTTTAAATCAAAATGAAACATTTTTGGTCTATTTGTTTTACTTGCTGTAGGAAGAGTGCCCAGATCTCAACCTATGGAGGATCTGAAGCTAGTTTTAGACTTTACAGTTCTCAGGTAAACTGATTGTCTCAGCATAATATGTCAGTCTCTAACAACAGGTTCTTAAATAGACAGATATAAAATCTTACAGTTCACATTAATTTCCTGGATCAAACTGACTTTCTAAGACAAACTATACCATTGTTTTTACATTTGGTTTGGGACCCGCAAATAGGTCCCCAAGCTGTTTAGGGTGGGTCTTAATGATATTCTTTCGTGCATAAGAGTTTTATATTATTATGCTTAAGTGTTTAATTTCCTCTGGCCAGCACTGAAGTAATTAAAGGAAATGCATCATTATTAAACTGAGACATAGGTCCTTGACAAAAAGGTGAAGAATTTCTGAATTTTATCCAAGAGATACTGTAACTCGTGAACTATGCTGATGAACAAAGGGAATAAAAGGAAAAAGTCAAAAGATACAAGCTCAATATCCTTACTTAGAAAGACATACAGAGCTAAATATATCCCATGTATGTTTTGCACACATGCTTATTGAGTTTTTACTTTTACATGTGATTGCAATTTGTTTAATGATGCCACTGGAAAATTATTACAAATTTCATGTTATAATGTTCTCCTCCAACTATTATAAGGAAGCCATCAGTTTCATCAGATTAATACATTATTATTAAATACAATTTACATTTTAAAGGAGAACTATGAGGTCAGTGCTTTTCACTCACCTCATAGTTCTAGCCGACCTGTGACAATGAGATTGTCACAGGTCGGCTCAGTAGATCGGGAGGTGAGTGAACACATACCAGCGTTCGCTCACCTCTCGATCCTGTCACGGCTCTCTGCTGT